TGTGTGTGTGTGTGTGTGTGTGTGGTCACTGGGTCACCTCCTCAGTGATTAACATTGAAGAGAGAGAGTGATGGTCACAGTAACAGATGGATAGAAGAAAACATGGCGGAGCCTCGTCCTGCTCCTCAGCGTCTCCACTCAAAGTAAATTAAGATGAACCAGAAGAAGACAACGCTCACGTCCACCACCTCACAGCTCCTCCCTGTGAGAAGATCCTGACCCACAGCAGATTCTTGGTGTTGATCCGTTCTGTAGTTTTTGTGTCATCAAGCGAACAGACAAACTATAACCTGATCAGTAAAACTTGACTCTTTCATCATTGCATCTGTGTTCCTGAAAACAAGACCTGACCCCTGCCTCCTCTTTAACTTCCACCTAAACACGCTCAACCACAGGAGCCACTGGGTGCTCCAGGTGCGGAGGTTTGATTCCTCTGGACTGGTTCTGACCCGGCCTCTGACCCGGCCTCTGACCCGGCCTCTGACCCGGCCTCTGACCCGGCCTCTGACCCGGCCTCTGACCCATCCATAAAGGCTGACGTGTTAAAAGACAGATCATCTGTCCGTCATGTTGGATTTTCAACATTTACATTTCTTGACAGACGACATGATACTTGTCAGCAATGACTGTAACATGTGTGTGTGTTTCTCCTTCACTCTGACAGACACGCAACTAAACTTCTGTCCCTGAAGGACACGTTACTCATGTCTTTGTCTTTCTGCGTCTCGTGGGTTGTTTGCAGAACCTGTGTCTGATTGAGTTTCCCATGAGGCCACTGGGTGATAATGAGGTGTTTACAGACTGGCTGTAGTCAGGCCTGTCCCCTGATGCCTGGTCTGTTGTTTCTCATTACAGTAACCTTACATCAGCACACGCACGCACACACACACACACACACGCACACGCACACACACATGCACACACACACACACACACACACTAAAACAATGACTTTGTCACCATCACACAAAGACACTTTTGTGAAAGTATGAACAAGCTGTTGCTTTCTGACTATTACACAGAATATCTGTCAGTGATTAAGAATAAACTTCATATTAATCAAATAAGAGATGGAAATAAAATATTATCAGAAAAACATGAACACACTCTGTGAGGCCACAGTGACCTTGACCTTCGACCTTTGACCCTAAAATCCAAGTCTAAGTGAATGTTTGTGTAAAAGAATTCCTTCAAGGTTTACGGAGATACAAGACAAAACTCTGTCTTTGAGACTGGAGATAATCCCTCGAGCTGATCTCCAGATATCGCCTTCCTTTGTGAGGCCACTGTGACCTTGACCTTCGACCTTCCAACACCAAAGTCAAAGCACTTAAACCATGTTTGTGCCAAATGTACAGAACGTCTCTCCAGGCATGTTGTATTCATGAGAGTGGGGAGAACGGACAGAAGAAAACCATGTGTATAAACAAACAAGTACATAGATGTATTAGTTCAACAGCGTCGTCCGACTCTGTCACAAGGTTCTAGCTCCTCTGTTGGATGTTACACAACCTGACCTCAGTCTCTTACTTCTCTTGGCGATGTGATCTCATGGAGGAAACACTCAGCCAGTGAGGAACAGGAAGTGTGTTGGGGTCTCACCCCTCATCTCAGAGGTCAACAGTAACAAAACCTTTGGGTCCAGGACTCTGGAGTTTTCTGAGGTTGTTTACATGTGAGTGAAGAGTTTAATGAGGTTCATGGAGGGAGAAGCAGTCTGATAAAAACCCAGAGTCCAACCCTCCGCTGTCTGTGAATGAATCAGGACTTTATTTGTGAACGCCTGTTGTACGATCTGCATGTGTGACTGATTCCCTCAGAACCCTGATGGATGATGAAGTGAATGTAACATATATCACTTTGGACGGACACGTGGAAGTGCAGAAATACAGATATGTTTATTTTGTGGTCATGTTTGCATTTTATATTCTAATAATCTGTTGGAATTCAACCATTGTGTATCTTATCGTGATTCATAAAAACCTCCATGAGCCGATGTATGTTTTCATTGCAGCTCTGTTAATCAACTCTATACTTTACAGCACAACGATCTACCCCAAACTTCTGATCGACTTCTTATCTGAAAAACAGATCACCACCTTCCCGCGCTGTCTCTTTCAAGCTGCTGTGTATTACACTCTGGCCACTTCAGAGTTTTTATTGTTGTCGGCCATGGCTTATGACAGGTATGTGTCCATATGTAAACCTCTGCAATATCCAACAATCATGAGGAAGACAACTGTCCAGGTCTTTCTCTTCGCAGCTTGGTTCGTTCCTGTTTGTGAACTTGGAATATCAGTTGTGTTGTACATTAATGTGAAGATCTGTCATGATAGGCTCAACGGCCTCTTCTGCAACACTTCAATTTTCACACTTCAGTGTGTGCGCTCAGTGGCACTGTCCATTTACGGTGTGTTTCTGCTGCTGAATATTGTCCTGGTCCCGATGCTCTTTATACTTTTTACCTACACCAGGATATTCCTCGTCACTTACAGAGGTTTTAAAACAATGCGGAGAAAAGCTCTGCAGACCTGTTTACCTCACCTGCTGGTGCTAATCAACCTTTCCTGTTTTATTGCTTATGACGTCATTGTAGTTCGACTGCAATCAGATTTACCAAAATTTGCCCGTTTGATATTGACATTACAAATAATCGTGTATCATCCTCTTCTTAATCCTTTTATATACGGACTCAAAATGAAAGAAATCTCCAAACACCTCAAACATTTGTTGGTTCAGGTCAAATTCCATTAATATATCAACACTGTGATCTGTGTGTTCTTACCTGTGGTGATAACGAGTACGTGCAAGGTTCAGTTTAACATCACTGAGAATCAGCAGCTGTCATGAGAATCATATTAGTGTCATTGTATTTGTATTGATTCAGTTTCTAATGGTCCCAAAATGAGGATCCATATTTTAGATGTTGTAAACTGTACGATGTTAAAGTAAATGTTTCAAACGTCTTTAAATAAAGTAGAATATGACTCAATTCAAAGATCTTTATTCTTTCTGTTGCTGGTAACTCTTCATGATGACAATGTGATATGTGCTGAATCGACTCAGAGCAGAAGACAAGAAGAAGTTAAACATCAGACACACGAGATAACAACTTAAAGTGAAACAGGAAACAACAGATGAAGTCCGAACAAAGTCCGTTATTCATATTGTCCAGTTTGGAAACTGCTCATTTTTCTGCTCTTTGCAGATGTTTCAAATTATAATGTGATGTTTTCAAAGTTCTCCCCTTTAGAGGCTGGATAACTTTTAACACGAGTACAAGCACAGTGATAAGGAATCATTTCCCCCAAAACTCTTTCACAAGAGGTTGATGCTGTGTGTGTGTGTGTGTGTGTGTGTGTGTGTGTGTGTGTGTCTGTTTTCCAATGAATATGATGTAATTCACTGATGTAACATGGACGTCCACAGAGGTCGTCCACAGAGGTCGTCCACAGAGGTCGTCCATGTGAGTCAGGGGACCAGACTCCAGCCTCAGTAAACACCTCATTATCACCCAGTGGTCACTCATGGGACATTGAATGAAAGAGGAAATATTCTTCTCATTAAACTGGGGGGGGGGGGGTGAAGTGTTTGAGTTCACGTAACACTTTTGGAGTTTCAGGTGTAAACAGTGTTACAGCCAAATCCAATATCATTGAGGTAAATGGTGAATTCTACAAATGTAAAAAAGAACAGGCCTCCGTCCTGCTGCTGTGGCATCTTCTCCGCTCCGACCCGAACCCTGGAAACGTCCTCATGTCCTCATGTCCTCATGTCCCTCATGTGCAGTGAACAGAGCCTCGCATCTTATTGTTTGAGTGCACAGAGTGAAACGAGCGAAACAGAGAAAAAGTCTAAAGACAAAAGTGAAATAAGATCATTTTCATCCTAACTGGTTTCATGAACACAAAGCTGCTGTGTCTGATATATTGCACCAGTTTCTTCATTCATTTATTAAAAAGTTAAAATTGGCCCCTAGTGGCCCTCACACATCCATCATACACACAATCTGTGGTTTGTGCTGATGTGTATGTGGGAGTGTGTATTTCCAAACTGCACTCTCACTTCACGTGAATAGAAAAACAAAGAATGTGTAGTTTGTTTGTGAGCAGCAGGACTGATCAGCTGATCAGGCGTGTGCACGTGGCTGCTGTGTGAGAGGATAAAATCTGAGCTCAGCCTCAGTGTGGATCTCACTGATGCTGCAGCTCCTCAAATCAAACCAGAGCAGCGAGGCTTTCATGAATTCATGCACATCAACACATGTATTGTCTGACGTTGAAAGTTGTTTGAAGGGAATTAACTGTAATCTGTTCTGTCTGTGCCTCCATCGCTCTCACTCTTCTTCCATCTCTCTGTGCAGACATGAGGAGCAACAGCAGCCTGAGTCCTCTCTTCTTCCACTTCACTCTGTTTGCAGACCACGGGCCCCTCAGATATCTGTTCTTCTGCCTGTGTCTGATGACCTATGTGACCATCATCTCTGCTAACGCTGTCATTTTCCTCACAGTCTGCCTGGAGAAGTCTCTGCATCAGCCCATGTACATCTTTATCTGCTTCCTGTCTTTAAACTCTCTGTGTGGCTCGGCCGCCTTCTTCCCCAGGTTCCTCGTGGACGTACTCTCTGACTCGCACTTCATCTCTCGTATGTCTTGTTTCATCCAGATGTACATTATCCACAGTTATAAAGGACAAGAGATCACTGTTCTCACTGTCATGGCCTATGACAGGTTTGTTGCTATTCTCCATCCGTTACACTATCACAGCAGAATGACGTTGAAGATGGTGCGACATCTTCTGATTTTTGCGCTGTTCTCCCCTGTGTGTGTTTTCAGCTTCTTTTTCTATCTCAGCAGTCGTTTGCCTCTGTGTGGAAATAAAGTGCACAGGCTTTTTTGCACCATCTGGTCTGTGGTTCAACTCTCCTGTGTGGACACGACCACGGAGGACATAGCTCGTCAGGTTCTTGTTGTGTTATACATCGTTGTCCCCCTGTTCTTTGTCCTGTACACGTACCTGCGTATTCTGCTGGTGTGCAGGAGGAGCTCGACTGAATTCAGAGGGAAGACGTTACAAACCTGCCTCCCCCACATCATCACCTTTCTGAACTTCTGCATCTCCATACTGTGCGAAGTTTCACTTTATACAGTTGATGAAGTCAATACATTTGCCATCGTTTTTTTATCTATGGAGTTTTTGATCGTCCCCCCCATCACTAACCCTCTGGTTTACGGCCTGAATCTGCCTCAAATCAGAGGAGTCATTTTTAGACGTGTGAAGATTTGTAAAATTGCTCTCGCTGCTAAACCAAAGGTCCAACAGGCACAAAGCTCTGACTGTCACACAACTAGCTACTGAATATGTTCATCAACCTAATCTCAGTCTGTTTGTTTGAGGCCGTTCATGTTAAAAATATAAAGACTTGAATTTTAATATCACATTGACTCAACGTGCACTAGTTCATTTGTCCCACTGTGAATCTGTCTCTGCAGACTGAGGAATAAAAAACATAAAACACACTTGTCGTCTTTTTTAATGAACAAACTGAAAGACAATAACTATATTCTATATATTAATAGTGATGACATTGAACTGCAGGCTGAGCTTCAGATCAGTCCGAAGGTCCAGACACACCCTGGAACAGGAAACACAAGGTTTCTAATATTTAAATTTCTAATGTTTGAGAGAACAGAGGAAAAGAAGATGAAGAGATAATAACTGTGGGACTCAAACACACGGAGCAGGTGGAGGTTGTGTTAAACAACTGTATTCGTCTTAAAGAAGGAACGTGTGTGAGATGATGCTGGACTCACATTCAGCAGCAGAGATCTGGTTTAATGGGCCTGGACTGAGCTCCTGTCAGCACACAACTACATATAAGTGGTTTAATAACAGAACATCGATACCTGATCTGATGTTCATCATCAGGAAACATTCAGGACTCACTGGAGGTGACACAATATTTAAACTGACAGAAATCAACGACCCTCCATTTGCAGGATGGTGGTTCATCTTGTTCTCTGCTGAGCTCTGTCCTGCACGTTCCTGTGTCTCGCTCTCGCTGTGAATGTTTGTATGAGTGCCGGTGGGCCTCAGACTGGGATTGAACTGATGCCCCTCTGGTTAGTGGCCGACCCGCTCTCTCTCCTCAGCCACATGTTTCTAAATGGAGTTGTAGCGGAGGCTGAACAGTGAAGATCAGAGGTGGAGAGTCCTCTGTGTTGTTGAGTTGTTCTTAGCTCAGATGATCTCTTGTTGTGTTGTGTGTGTGTCTGTCTCTGTGCAGCTTGATTGTTGTCACTCATTTGGTTTAATTGTTTTTTTTCGCTCCCTATTCTAAAATGTCCTCACTCCGTAAGGTCTTTACTTCAAATGGTCCTCACTAAGATAGAAGTACACACACACACACACACACACACACCCCCCTCCGGTGAACCCACACATTCTTTAGAGCACACTTCATTGACGCAGTGATTCAGAGCAGCTCATGGCCAAATAAGACGAAAACCACTCAGCCTGCTCTCAGCGTTCACTGCACGAGACTGATGCTGGATTTACAGAGTCACAGGGAACTCTGAACAACAAGTTCATTCCTCAATCATTTTCAAGAGTTTTCATTCTGGAACCAGGTGGACCAGCAACAAGATGAATCCCAAACCATTCAATTAGAATTATTTAAAAGAGCGAAGGAACTACAATCCCATAATCCATTGTGGATGATCCTTTCAAATGATTTCCTGCTTCTCCTTGAATGGAACCTTGTTTCTTTTCCTCATCCGATCGTAGCCGACTTGATTTTCAAGGTTGTGATAAACGTTTCCAAAGAAACTGTGAGCTCCAGCAATCAGACACGTCCCTATTACACCTGAGGATTGTGGGTAGTGTTGTTCTTGACATCGTGAATAAAACATGATGAATAAAACACAGATGGATTATACAGGAGGATAAAACGTTGTTTCTCTGTGTTGTAGCTTGAGTCGACCTCGGCTGGTTAAAATATTACGGTTGAAAATGAAAACCTCAGAAAATGAATTTTACCTCCAGAACCACGATGTTGAGATCTTTAGGA